AAAGATGTCGCTAAAGTGTATGTCGTGAAGTGTTTGACCCATCTTTGCTTCTAGGTATTTTATGGTTTCCGTTCTTATGTCTAGGTCTTTAATCCTAAGTAGATTTTTTTTTAATTCAAACTTACTTGATTGTCTTTAGTAGATGGGGCAGCCCCAACTAGTTTCCCATTACTAAATGTTACAATCTGAAAGGATCACACTTAATAAAAAATGTCCTGAATGAAATGCAGAATTCTAATGCAGAATTCCTTCTAATGCAGAATTCCATAGCCAATTAAACTTCCAAATGAGAATACATATTTTCAGATAGGTAAGCTCTCTAAAAGTATACTCTACTGAAATGGAGAAGTAAACTTATAAAAAAGGTGACAAAGAATACAAAGCAAAAAAGGAGAAAAGTATAGAAACTTCCAAAATAATGGTGAAGGGAGTTCCCAGGTTGAAAGCCACAAAAAGAGTAACATCCTTATTTGAGAATGATGAACTCTAGGAAATATGTTTTCACAGGGGAAAACCTAAAAAGGATAGATTACCTACAGTGAGTGAACATACTCAAAGAAGACTTAACACTTGTGCCAGAGTTTGGTAAAAATCAGTGGTAGGTACATTTGTTTAAAAGCACAAGAAAATTAGACAATTAATTCCTCGGGGGAAAAAACTGCACAAAAAAATAAGTGTGATTATTGTTATATTATCTGGCTCAACTGTGACTATATTTATCATCTCAATGAGGTAAATACTGAGAAACATCCAACTGAAAATTAAGATATACAAGACACTCCATACAGAACCAAAACTTACTAAGTTAAGAAACATCAGTATAAAATATTATTTTTAGTGGGCCCTCTTTGGTGGTGCAATGGGTTAGGACACAGCACTGCAAGCTAGCCATACCTGCTTCAGTGCAAGTTAGATTCCCACCTGCCCCGGAGATCCACATGGCGTGGCAGACTTCTCCTGACCCACCCACTGCTCCCCTCAGCAGTGTACTTCCTCCATCTGCCTGTTCTGCTCCTTACTCTGTCTCTGGTGAAGCCTCTCACCGCCCTTGCATCTTTGGCTTGTACCCCAGTTCTGTATGAATAAGTAATATTTTTTAAAACTACTTTTAAAAATATGAGAAGAGCAAAATATATATTTTTGAGCTATATATAGGTATAAATATATATAAGTATACACACACACACACACACACATAAGTATATACACACACACACATACATATAAAATAAATTGAAATGACTGCTGCAGCTAAGCAAGAATCCTTGGTTCAAAGGGGGTAGGGTAGACTACCTCACTGTTTCTCAGCTACCCAAGAATAGAACATCCTTTTTAGTAGGTTATTTTTCAGTTTGGGAAATATTGAAAATTTTTTCTGTCTTAATTAATGACAAGAGTGTTTAACTTAGAGTCCAAAAATAACCAGTCAGACACATTCTACACTGATAATTGAGGGAAACTATTTTTTTGTTGTTGTTCAGGCTTGTAGAATCATTTTACTTTTTATTTACTTATGTGGCAACCATAAATGTGAAGAAAAGCCTGCTTAATTTTACTTATGCACCAACTTCTGGCTTATAATGGACACCCAAGATTTAAACTTCATCATGAAAAAACGAGTACAAAAGAATTTGTTAAATGCTAAGAGTAAAGAACAGCATTTGACAGAGAAAGGGAGCCAAAGTTTGAAATTATCATTATCGGTGATGGAAGGAAACAGCTGAAATAACTGATTATTTAAATATAATTTAGAGTTTTTAAGGTTTCTTAAACAGTAACTCCTTGATAGCAACACTGGGACACAGAGATTATATCCTTATTTTACACATGATGAAACAGGCTCCGAGAGGTTAAATTATTTGTCCAAGCCCATTCAAGTGAAAAGAGATGGCTAAATTCCTTGCTCATCTCATTAGGCCTACCTGTTCTGTAGGATGTTTAGAAGGGAAGAGCAGTAGAAATGTCCATTAAAAACCACCCAATCCCAACAGGGTAATCAGAAAATACATAAAGTACTCATTCACAAAATGAGTTGTTTATCCCAGTACTCTCTGTATAGTATGATCTGCAGGCAACCTGGAACTGATCACAAACAGCAATCCAGTAGCAGATAAGGAGCATGAGGTAGAATGTAAATAACTATGTGATGAAATACACTGTTTAGTACAACTGACAATTTTATATAACAAAACTTTCCATAAAATGAAGGAGATGCAATGCACTGATTTACATTCTGCTGCAAGCTTTTATCTCATCATGTATCTATCACTTGAGCAGCACTGGTTTATAGTACAGACTGACTGCTTCTAGGCTTGTAACTTTCAAATAAATAAGAATGACAAAAACTTAAAGTCTTATTTTCTAGACCTTATATCATGTACTGTTCAAAGAAGGTTATGAACATAGTATTACCAATACAATTTCACTGACAAATTCTACAGAATAGTTTCTCATTACTAGGCTTGGTAAAAGCATTTTACTTTGAGAAATTTAATCAACTTTCAGCAGCCAATCAATGAAGCAGCAAATAGGCCAGACAGCTAGCTACAATTTTAAATTTTCTTTTATGTCCCCAGGCCAAATGTGTAATCCTCAAGTCCTTACCATCAAACCTATCTACTCTATGCCTTTAATTTCTCTTTAGGTATTATATAATGACAATAATGACCTTGACATCAACTAAACCTTGATATCAAAACTAAGCTACAAGAATAAGTTCAGTCACAAGAGTGACTAAATATGGTCATGATCACACACACAAACAGGAATTTGAATGTATTTCTAACAAAATTAATGATTTAAATATCTGTATATACATGGTGCTTTTCTTAAGTAGGAAACCATTATGTTAACTTAGTAAGCAAAACTACTTTTGTTTTATCCTAGAAGAAACAGAGATGGAAGCTACAGTAGGAAGGAGGGCAGCACTAACCCTTCAGAGAATGTGATCATTTTATGGAATCAAATACAGTTATAATTCTGTGCAGTTCTCATTGTTTGAGGTACAATTTTAAAATACTCAGAGGTCTACACAAATTTTAAAATAAATTCCAGTTTAGCGGATGATATTCTTGACAATAATACTGTGTTATTTTGACACAAAGTGTAAATAGCTAGAGTCTCTTAAAATGCACAGACACACTTTTATCAAGCATAACTCTTCCCTTCTTTCATGAAACATTTCTACAATTTCCTGAGAAGTGTCACAATCAGACTCACAATCCCAGAGTGTGAAACCCACAAAAGAGTACCTGGATACCCTGACTGACAGCACTCATGAGCATTACCCTACCAGTAAGTCTAGGGACTAGAAAGTCCCTTAGGGTGTGCTCAAAACCATTATTTCCCTACAGTTCTTCCAGTCCTTCTGAGATGGACATTCATGCCAGAGACCTGTGCTTGTAAATGCTTTCTGTTTCCCTTCTAATATCAGTGCACTGCTTCTTATCAATCAGCAATTATTAAACCTTCTCTCCAAAACTCCAAGATCTATGGGTAGTGGAACTGCAAATAATTTTTATTTTCCTCTTAATTTCAACAAGAGCACATTAAAGTTTTAAATTTTTTTTAAATTTTGATTTAAATTTAACTAAAAAAAGAAAATTCTTGAATTTTGGCCTTAATATTGTTTTTTGCATTAGATGCAAGCTACAATGAGATAAAAAGCAACTTCCACTAAACTGAATGTTAATATAAACAAATAATAGGATGAAGATTACATAAAGATCCTGCAATTTCTTTTTCAGTTTCTTAAAGAGGTTATGAATGTACTGTATGTGATCAAAGTAATAAGAACCTGAATATTCATATTTTATGCATTTTCACAATGAAATTTCATCCTACAAGAAATCATCAGACAAAAGGACAATATAAAATCTAATTTGACAAATGTTTTCTTCAACAAATATTTAAGAAACATTTAATAAAAAGTCAAGATCAAAGTATCTAAAAGTGAATCAACTGCTTTACCTCTTTGTGTTTCTCATCCAGCTGACCCCTAAGAGTCTTGAGTTCCCGTTCACGGATATCCAAGCAAGTTTCGAGAGCATGTGTCTGCCCTTCCCATTCAGATTTTTTATGAGCCACCATTATGTCAATCTGTTTCATAAGCTCCTGTAGTTCTGCTTCACAGGATGTCAAAAACCCCCTATAAATAAGAACCAAACCTTACGATCATTGTCCAGGTGGCTTTTCATATATCACAATTAAACATATAGGAGATAAAAATTTACCCAAGGTGGAACACTGTCAATAAATAAGCTATCAGAGTAAGATTTCTGGACTTTTCCTTTAAATTTTTACATCAGTAATATTTTTGCTTCATCTAATTATCCAAACAAAAGCCAACATCAATCATTTGATCAAGCACAAGGATAACGTCATATGAGAATCTTCCATACTCAACAAATAGCTCTTTTCTAAACAAGTTTATACCCTATTTTCAGGTGGCTAAAATAAAAAGACTGGGAAGCAATCAGGCAAGCTGGGAAATGACTACACAAATTTAAGTGAGATGCTTTATGGTCAAAAGTGAACTTACCCATCATGTCCCTGATTTTGCATTCCTTCCAATAAAGCCTCCATCACCAAATCCCCTTTGTTTTGGCAACTGGGAAAACGAAAAGAATCAATCAAGAGAAAATTCATGTTTTAAGTTCTAACATGCCAACTTATAAGCCTAAGAATGTGGATGAAAGCATATAATTAATGAGAAAAATGCAGCACTGCTGAGGATAACTAGCAACTGTCAAGGGGTATTATTACTTCAAGAAACATTAGTATCAAAAATGCTTCAGACTCAAAAAGATTACTTAAAATTACCTAAATTGTTGTTGGTACACTCCCCACATGATTGAAACCAAACACCTCACTGCTGTAGCCCACTTCCTAATGAAAGAGTGGGGGGCCAGGGAGGAGGTAGGGCACCAGAAGCAGGAAATTGACAAACCCCTCTTACCAAATGAGAGGAAATTAGGGGTCTTACACGTTAGAGGAGCTGTGTAGCTTGAAGTCTGTGGTCCATCAGAGGAGATGCTATTCACCCTTGAGATGAGAGGCCTGTGAATCTTCTAAAAACCCCAGAACCCTTGAAAGCCTGCTATGTGGGTCCTCCTCACTTCTGCACCTCACCACTCCTAGTGCTTAGCAGGTTCTTTCAGAGGGGTGATACCATCTCAGAAATGAGTTTTTCCATACCCTTATACCTTACCATTCATCCCTCAAGAACAAAAATCAATTTCACTCATCCCTGTGGCCCTGGCGCCTGGTGTAGTAATTCAACATGGCAAATGCTGGATGCTTTGGGCTAACATTATCTCAATTTCTCTTCCAGTTACCTGCCCCTCACCATGCAAACTAGTCATAGCTGGAGAACTGAAGCACAGGGCCCAGTAGAGAAAGGGGAAGGAGACAGACAGATACCATAAAAAGGGAAAGACACCACAATGGCAGGAAAGTGAGACTGAAGAAAGGCCATCCTTAGATTCCTAAGTGCCAATGAGTAGCACTTGCTGTAGGCTCCCACCTCTTATCAAAATCTTTAAAAAGCTAACCAATGTCAAACCTCTTCTCACTCCTGAGAAACTGCCTTTTTGCCCTGTAAGTGTTCCAAGGTTCAACTCTGAATCATGGTCTTTAGACAGTAGTGTGGCCCCATCCCATTGCCCTAAAGCGTTCTCTGAACATTACATTGTTTTGAAGAGGGGATTCTTTTATCAACAAAGAACTCCAGATCGTACCGACTAACAGATTTATAGTGATAAAAGATGTGGGGCTTCTCAAGGAACTGAGTCCAGTAAAGTACCGAAGATATTCATCAAAAATGCCCCCCTTGGGCCCTCCCTGGTGGCACAGTGGATTAAAGCACAGCATTGAGAATCTAAAGCTGCTTCCACATGAGTTCGATTCCCGCCTGCCCCGGAGGTGACCACATGGCGTGGCAGACCTCTCCTGACCCACCCGCTGCTCCCCTCAGCAGTGTACTTCGTCGATCTGCCGGTTCCGTTCCCCACTCTGTCTCTGGTGAAGCCTTTCACCGCCTGTACCCCAGTTCTGTATGCACAAATAAATAAATCTTTAAAAAAAATGCCCCCCAAAAGTAATAAATACAGTGACAGAGGCACACAGAGGGTGTCCCAGAGACAGAGAATTAAGAGTGGACAATAGCACTGCATGTTATTTGCATTATTTCCCAAGTTACTAACAGGAGTATTTAGCTATCCATGCATAAATATGGCAGAGAAGATTTTTTCCTAGTCAGGTTATCCTTCATATCACACTAACATTAGATAAAATAAAAACCTAAAGAAAAAAAAAATTTATGTTTCCCTCCACTTTGCCAAATCAGGACACAGCCAATTTACAAGACAATTCAGAGTCCATGTTTTGGTCCACTGTAGGGGAACTGGGAGGTGATATGTAGCTCACACAGCACAGTGTGAATGGGAAGCCAGGACATAGTCCTCCTCAGAAACTAACTAGCTTTGTGTCCTTGGGCTTAAGTCTTTGCATTTGCAAAATGAGGGGCATGAACTATATTCTTTAAGGTGTCCTCCAGCTTTTGCGCAGTATTCTAATAGTAGTTAAATGTACGCTGTAAATACCGGGCTTCTAATAACTATACATGGATATTTATTAAATATGTAGGAAAGTGCTATTCCTGAAGACAGTGTAACTACAGTTATTAAAAAATACTATAAATAAAATTACACTTCATGGGTCACATTAGATAGTGATATATTAGTGATGTACACTAATAATACACGTTTGATAATGTATCATGCATTATGTATTCTGGATATTTTTTAATAATTAGCAATATTTAGAATAAAAGCTAAAAGTCATGTACAAACTGTTGTGTCTGTAATATATTGTTTAGTTCAGTCTCCCCAATGCTCATAAAAGACTGGAGAATTAAGGCTGGACAATAGCACTGCATATTATTTGCATTATTTCCCAAGTTACTAACAGGAGTAGAGCTCATTTTGGCAGCACATAGACTAAAATTGGAACAGCACAAAGATTAGCAAGGCCCTGCACAAGAATGATGTGAAAATTCATGAAACATTCCAGATTTTTTTTAAAAAGACTATTACTCTGAGGAAATTGAGACTTGAAGGGTTCAGTAACCTATCTGGTAAGCTACAAATTGTAATCCTCAGCTTCAAACCTACATGGTGGGACTCCCAAGTCCCAGCCGATGTACAACATTTACGTATTTTACTGTATTCCGTATCTTCAAATAATCAGCATACACTTCTCTGGCTTAATAGCTGCCTTTTGGTAGCAAACAAAATCAAACCAAATCAGAAAGTCTGGACACAGGAAAAAGCCTAAAGGGAAGTATATGGTCACAATGTCTACCTGGTGGCAGCAGCACAGTGACAACGCATAATCTACACCTGGCCAGCTGCCGTTCCCCTTCAGGATCAGGTAAAGGACTCCAGGATTTTTCTGAGTCTGTCATAGCTACATCACTGATTCCTCTCCTAGCCAAGCGGACTCTCATTCCAATATATGCAGAATGTCACTCTGTCTTCTTCTTTGCCTGCAGTTAGACATTCTTATTTCCTATTAAATACAAATTTTTTAAGATTATGGTTTGATGAATTGCTACCACTTGCTACTAACATTAATGGAAACTAGCTCTACAATTGAGCTACTATACAGTGTACTGTATAGTAGCCATCAGCTATCTGTGGCTAAGAATTAAACTAGTATTCCATTGGTAGATAAATATTCAACTGATAGACAATCTGAGCATTTCTGTAGTTAGAGAAATCAACAGACATTACTCATTACAGTGTTCCTTTGGAATGAAGATTTTTAAATCAGTAACATCTGTTAAAAGATAAAAATACAGGTCTTTTCCACCAAGTGTAAGAAGCAAGAAAAAAACATACTTTATATCTCAGAGGAAAAAGAATCTGAACAGGTATCTGATAATGGGCAAAACTTTGAAATTCACTAACAAATTGGAACTTAAGACCTAGAAGGGGCCTAACAGCGTCTAATTTAACTTTTTTGTTTGTTTTACAGATCGGGAAAAATATGCAGATTATATGATCAAAATCAAATTACTCACAAAAAAGGACAGTGGAAGGAAATTAAAACTCTGGACAGAATTATAAGTGTATGCTGAGATGGGATGTGCCTGTCTAGTAAGAACTGTTTAAAAGAAGACAGCAATGCTCTGTTCCCTCCTGTTCTTGGTGTCACTGCAAACAAACAGCATGGGCGACAGATATATTCTGACTAATCAGCTGTAGCTGCTCCAATAAACCATATTACCATTGCTCAGAAAAAAGAAAAATGCAAATGATCTTAAATATTGGAAAAAGATGTTCAACCTTGCTCATATTAGAAAATACTAATTGAAACTACATTGGCTTATTCTTTCTTCTGTATTAGAAGTTGACAATTTACTGACAATTAGGCTAAGAGAAAACAGACACTCACATACATGGTAGGTAGGAATGCAAAATGGTACAACCACTATAGATACTGGACAATACCTAACAACTGATAGCTAGTCATTTACCTGTGAGCCCAGGAATCTACTCCAAAGAAATATGGCAAAAAAATACGAAATCACTATGCACAAGGTTATCTGCTGTAGCACTATCTGGAATGGCAGGAAACAACACACCTGTCTATCAGTTGAATATTTATCTACCAATGGAATACTATTTTAATTCTTAGCCACAGATAGCTGATGGGTACTATACAATGCACTGCAATTCCAGCACAAACTACAGTGAGCAAATGCAGTTAAATTTAGAATATCCAGGGGAGAAATGGGAGGTCAAGAACTGCAATATTAGAAGATTTAAAAGGTCTATCAACTACATTCCACATGTGGATCTCTATGAGTTTTTGACCCAACCAAGTTAACTCTATAGTTAAGAAGATAATTATGGTACAATGGGATAACTCTGAACTTAGAGTGAATATTGACATTTATAGATTTTTATATTAATCTGTGTATCTGTGTTGACAGCACTGTGGTTTTTGTAATGGAAAAAAAAATTAGGTCCTTGGAGAGGAAAAAACCCTAAAGTAACATAAAAAAATCAAAAACTTAATTCCTGAGACCTGTGTCAATGTCAGCTTTAGCTGAATTTCAAATCAAGCTAACAGTATAGACTGGATGCCGTCATCATCTGTCACCACCACAAGCAAAGGTCTCCCACCTTTTAATGAGAGGAAAATGGCATCAGTATTAACAATTACCAATAATTTAAAAATTATGATTCTAGTTAAGAGGTCCTAATACTGTCTGAAAGTTTACAAATGTCTAACCCATTTTAATTTCACTCTTTTTACTGATCACTGATAATAATAGTCAAAGAGCAAGCTGGGATATACACTAAATATATACATACCTTATAGCTAAATATAAATGTAAGTTTTGAAGCTAATGGGATGACCCCTCTGGGTCTTTTGTCTATAAAAGAAGGTAAACATTGGGGGCTCCTACTTAACAAATGCTTTATTAGAAGGAATAATTAGGCCCTCCCTGGTGGCACAGCGGGTTAAAGCACAGCACAAAGAAGCTTAAGCCACTTCCGCATGAGTTCCATTCCCTTCCCTCCTGCCTAGGAGGAGATCCACATGGCGAGGCAGACCTCTCCTGACCAGCCTGCTGCTCCCCTCAGCAGTGTACTTCATCGATCTGCCTGTTCTGCTCCCCACTCTGTCCCTGGTGAATTCTCTCACCCTCCGCATCTCTGGCCTGTACCCCAGTTCTGTACGAATAAATAAATCTTAAAAAAAAAAAAGGAATAATTAAAAATTAAAAACTGTGGAGCTCTCCCTGGTGGCGCAACAGGTTAAAGCACCGCATTAAGAAGGTCTCAGAAGCCACTCCAGCAAGAGTTCAATTCCCTGCCAGGGAGGGGACCCACATGGCACGGCAGACTTCTCCTGTCCCACCTGCTGCTACCCTCAGCAGTGTATTTCAGTATATCTGCCTGTTCCACTTCCCACTCTATCTTTAGTGAATCACCCACACCTCTGGCCTGTGCCCCAGTTCTGTAAGCATAAATATTTTTTAATTATTTTAAAAAATAACAAAAAAACTGCTTTAAGGAATCAGATGCAAAGCTCAAGGAAACTATCTTGTGCAAAATAACTACTGTAACTACACATGATCACTATTCGCTGACATCAGGCTCTTCAGGGACTTAAGAAAAACCACATTCTAGGTTTACGCTCTTCAAATATCTTCATAATAAAAATGTTAGCAAAGAACTGTGTCTTTGAAGCCCACTTTTATTTCCAATCCCTGACTTGTGTGGAGCACTATCATTTCAATATTCACCAACTAAGGTCCTTCCCGATTTCTGCCACATTTCTGTACCTCCTGTACGAACATTAAAGGTTTTAAGCGAACCCACTTTTTAAAACTTGCTAAACTTCTCACCATAAATGAACCACTAGCACCTGCCATCAAAGACCTAAATCGCAACAAGGCTAGGAAGCTAACCAGATATGGCAGCCTAGGCGGGAGGGTTGTGCCGAGAGTCCCTCCCCTGAAGAGGAAGTCTGGCCCGCGGCTCGCTCCGGGGAAAACGAGGCCAAGGAAGCAGCTCGCCCACCCCGACGCCCTCCCTCCCGGGAGAGGCTGACCACCTGGCGGGCCCGGCTGGCGCGCCGCGGAGGGCCCCGTCCGCCTCCGCAGGAGGGCTGGGCGTACGCGGCGAGGCCGTGGGGCGGAGAGCCAGAGCGGACCCGAGCCGGAGGGGGCGAGCCCGGAGGCCAGAAGACGGCGGGAGGAGCCCACCCGGGGCCATACCGCCGCCCTGAGGGCAGCATCACCGAAGCCACGGCGGCCCTGACCCCAGGGCACGCCCACCCCTAGCCAGTACTACTTGCGCACAAGCGGTTACGGGGCTGCCGCGAGTGCGCGCCCCGAGCCTTCCCGCCGTTACCTCCCCCGCCCTCGGGGGCGCGCACGCGCGTCAGCGCCAACCTGACGTTCAGCCTCTGGCGTCGGCACGTTCGTTCCGCCCACCGCCCCTCGCTTTTAATTAAACGTATTCCAGTTCGCCCCTCGACGCTGGCCTATGGGCTCACCCACATCCGGGCATCTACTCGAAGGCTGGGCGAGTCACATGACACTGAAGGTGTGGCCTGGCGTCAGCGGCTGCAGTGCTGGGCCGGGTGCCGGTAAGGGTTTCCCGCGCCCCGAGCTTCCAGCTCTTGAAGGAGCGGGGACGTATGCGTTCCTCAGCGTCCGACGCCTCCCACTCCCATCGGCGGAGGCCGGTGTCTTCACTTCATGCTCGCGATCGCTTCTTTTACCGCCTGTCTGGTCGGGCGGACAGGGACTTGAGCGGCGGGCCGGGACCTCCCCCGCTTCCAGTTTGGTTTAGCCAGCCTCGGGCGGAAGCCGCGGCTGGGGGCGGGCTCACACACCTGTACGGAGGGTGGTGGCCTACGAGGGTCATTTCAAGCGCGGGAAAGGCCTTCCGGCTTCCAGCGTGTAAATTTTCTGTTTACAGAGCTCGAAAGCACAGAAGCGGGTCCAACTTGCCCCAGCGTCTGACAGTGTTACGAGCTCCCCATTGGGTCCGTTTATTTCGCTCAGGCGGCCGCGGGGTGGGCGGAGAGACGGGGTACCATGCTCCGCCTGGGTCTAGGAAAAGACTTGCGGAAGGAGGCTACCCGGGAGTTACGTTTTTAGACTGACAGGGAGTTAGGGGAGGGGGAGGAAAGGAAAAATAAAGAGCCTTCCAGACTTTGGGAAGAAGTCCCAGATGTGTGAAGTGTGCTTAGGAACTGGGTGGGTGGTTCACTCTGTGAGATGTGACAAGGGCTTGGAACAGTGACCGTGTCTGCCTGTCTAGTCACAGCCTGTCCTTTCTGCACCTTAACTCTGGAAATGTGATGTTGACTCTTGAGCTGATGCCTATGTTGAATTTGGAAGGAAAAGCAAGTTTTAGTGGGGGGGGGGAGGAGACACTTAAGTGCAAAGACTGGAAAGTGTGTGCTTGGAAGAGGGGTGAAAAAAGATTGAGGCCAAATTGGGGAATGGTGCGCTACATAAACACTCACACAAAATGTACACATTACAGTTGGAGACAATACCTGAACATTTGGCTACAGCGCTGGCCCAACTTCTTTAGTAGGTCATAACGACAAGACGCTTTCCAGGGCAGAATGTCTGACAGAGCTGGAGTGATTTGAAAAAAAAAAAGTACAAAAAGATGAAATCTGTGTAGGCCTGGAAAAATCAGCAGTTTTGATCAATGAGAAGGTTATTTCAGAGCATCAAGTACAGAGGACTGGCAGTAAGAAAAAAGGTGGGCTCTTGTAGAACAAACAATCCAAAACTGTATTTGAAACTGAGGATAAGAACTGTGAATTTCTTTCCTAATGACAACGACGTTGAGTTATACAGAAGTAGTGCTGAATTAATTCTTGAGTGAAACAGATTCATCTGGTTCACTACTGTCAATGTAGCCGGAAACTTTTTTCTTTAGTTTTACCTGGCTTCCTATGGGCATAAAAACCCTTCTTCCACTCCAGCCTATATAATTCAGAGCCTGGTATTTAGGCTGTCTTGCTCATATTCAGGGAACCCAGAGGTACCTTCCAAGTTATCTGCAGTTGTTTAGGAGACAAATGGAATCAGCTATGATCAAGGCGCTAAGTAAGCATCAGACTACTTGGGTGAGGCACAGAAACCAGCACAGCGTTAAGAATTGGGAAGGAACCCCAGTGGGACAGAAACAATGTGGATTCCTACCACTGTTACTCACCTGGAGGGGATCCTTTCAAGCCCCACTTGGCTGCTATTTTGAGAAGGGAGGCCAGTTGCCTATCAAGTATAACTGCTGACATGTATTATTTTGAGGATTTGTGTATGTGGTTGGTCACTTGGCATATCCCAGTACACTGGGAAGTCATTGTGTTCATTTAGCTCCTGTCTCTGAGAGTGACAAGATTAAATCAAAGCCAGGTGGAGACTTTTGAAAAATGGTGCAGAAAAGGCTAGAGGGGCCAGAAAAGTGACTTAGTTATGAATCAGATGTGCACCAAAGGCATTCTGAACAGGAAGAGGTAAATGTGAAAGTCAGGAGAGAAAAGCTGCATTCCAGATCTACTGAGGTCTCGTAAACAAGGCCCCCACATACGCTTGTTCCCCCTTGTCCTACTTTGATACTAGTCTGTCAGTTTCACTGTTTGTCCAGTCTGTACTTCAGCTTGGGAGGGAGAGGAACCTTATAAATAAGTTGTCAGGTGACCCAGAGGAATTTTAACCCTGGTGGTGTTTCGCCAAAAGACACATCCTGGTTAAAAACTAAGGAATCTTACATCTGGGTTATACTATCTCCTCTTATTTAAGTTATAATCTCTTTGGCTTATAGATCTGACCAGATTAAAACTGCAAGAGAATGGACAGTGAAGTACAGCGAGATGGAAGGATCTTGGATTTGATTGATGATGCCTGGCGAGAAGACAAGCTGCCTTACGAGGATGTTGCCATACCACTGGTAGGTTATGATCTGTGCTGGGAATGATGGGTTAAATGTATGATCCGGTAGACCCTTATAGAGGTGGGTTATTAATGAAAAGATAAACCTGAAAGCCAAGAAATGAAAGCTGTGATGTACTCTTAATTCTAGGGACTACTGGAGAGCATCTAGCACAGTCTTTTAGTGAGAAATGAAATGTGGTTCAGGCATTTGATATGACTTAGAGATTATTATACCATGACTGGAGCCCAAGTTTTCTGAATCGTGGTATGTTCTGTCCAACACACCAAAGCTAGGAAGTCAGATGAGAGTTTAATGCATAAGGTGGTAAGGAGAAAAAGCAATGGCCTATAAGCTGTGTTTCTTACTTCTCTACCTGTGGCTTGTCAATCTGTCAGCATTTTTTAGAAGTTTACATTCTTGGAACTGGGTCACCTGAAAAATATCCGGAAGATATCTGGCTTGTCTTTTTATTTTCCAGCAATAGCCTCCTGAAATATTCTTTTTTCCTAAACTTTGAAAACTAACCTGCAAGGATTTTTAAGTTTTACTTGTATGAATGCTTATTAAAAGTCCTACTTATGTCATAGAACACAGAATAGACCCAAGGAACTGTTTCTCTTTAAAGCATGTCTACTGCCCTGAGAAGGGATGTTAATAAAAGCTTCTTGGCAGACTTCTGCTTCTCAAATTACAGAGAAATAGAATTCAACTCACCCACATTTTAATTTCAGAATAAGAGGTAATAATGTATTCAATGAATAATGGCCATATAAAATAATAAGTCACAGCTTAGTTTAGGAAAATAGTCCCCAAAAGAGAGTTTATTAAGACTTATAACTGCTATCTATGAATAACAGCTTTATACCATGGACCAATGTTGAAATCTGACATTGAATCTCTATTCTTTAAAGTAAGCTTGCCAAAAAAAAAACCTTAAACTTACCATTTTAAAGGAAATAGGATCAGAAGGGAATGTGCTCAAAAGTCTGGTAGCTGGTAGCTTGGACTTTACACATAGGTCTGTGAGATTACAGATCCTGTGGATTTCTGTTCATTTATTCATTTGACAAGCATTGTTCTTTCATTAGCTAGGCTTTTTTTTTTTTTTTTTAAATCTACTGTGTGCCTTAAGACTAGGTGAACATATAACAGTTTCTGCCGTTGGGGCCTAACAAGGCAACATATATAAGTAAAAATTATAGGCCCTCCCTGGTGGCGCAGCAGGTTAAAGCACTGCACTGAGAAGCTAAAGCCACTTCCGCATGAGTTCGAAACCCGCCTGCCCCGGAGGAGACCACATGGCGTGGCAGACCTCTCCTGACCCGCCCACTGCTCCCCTCAGCAGTGTACTTCGTCGATCTGCCTGTTCTGCTCCCCACTCTGTCTCTGGTGAAGCCTCTCACCGCCCCTGGGCCTCTGGCCTGTACCCCAGTTCTGTATGTACAAATAAATAAATCTTAAAAAAAAAAAAATTATAGTAAGTGCTTTAAGTAGGACTTGTGAAAGCTACTTAGTATAGGATTGTTGAGCATCAGGGATGGCTTCACAGAAGAGTCTGTCATATTTAAACTGGTTATAAGGAGGGTAGACAGGGACACTCCAGCAGAGAGGACAGATGTGCAAAGGCTCAGTTTTGAAGTACTTTGGGACCTAGTAAGGCATTCAGTGTGGACAGGGGGAATATTTGTCATAGAAGGAAGCAGTTGAATTGGGCTTGAACCAGATTTCAAGGGAAGTGTTTTTCCCATACTTAGACCTCATCCTGGGGACATCTAGGAATGAGAGGTATTCAGAATAGAAGTCTGCCAGGGTGAAATTTTGTTTCAGTAAGTAAGTTTTACAGCATTCTCAGAGAATGCCTACTATGGGAAAAGTTTGTGACGCCAGTTATTGCAGTAGTCTAGGCAAGCAAGAGGGACCTGAAAATAAGTAAATAAGTGGAGGGAAATTGCCAAACTAGGATATGTTTATGACAGGACTTGGAGACAATTTGAGTTTGTTGACTTCCAGTGTAGCCTGGTTCTGTTGCTAATCTCTGGCTTTTCCCAAGTCTTGTGATTCTGAGCTATGTATCAGTTTTTGCTGCATAGTAAATCACCCTAATATGTGGTGGCCTAAAGCACCTACTTATCTCATGATGTTGTAGCTTAGCTGGTAGGGTCTTCTGGTCTTTAACAGCTCTGCTAGTTCCTGGTGGACTTGGTTGTGTTTTGTAATTGGCCAGGAGTAGGCTGGTTGGAGGTAATTCAGGACACTTGAACACATCGGCAGTTAGCAGACAGTAGCCTCGATGATAAAGTGACTAGGCCACAGTCTCTCAGCCAGCCAGTGTATTAATCCAGACTTCCTCACTGGCATCTCAGTTTCCGGAAGTAGTGTAAGAAGAAACCAAAGCCATGTGGAGCCTTGGTTAGTTTAGGACCTGGCCCATGGACACTGCAGCTGCTTTATGCCAAAGCAAGTCATATGGCTACTAAAATCCAAGGTGGGAGAAATAGACTGGACCTTTTCATGGGAGTAGTTGCAAAGAATCACAACCCTTTTTGTAGTATACCATACCAGATAGTAGTATTTATGATACTTTATTTCCCCAGCACATGTAATTGTATATGTTGGCACTATAATATGAAAAATATGTTGTAGAAAGCTTACCACGAACCTCTGATTTAAACAGTTAATTAACCAATGTCCTATTTATGTTTTGTCAGCTATAAGTAAATTTAAGCCAAGATTTAAGTTTGAGTGTTGCGTTGGTTTGTAATAAATGGCTTTTTTCGATTTGTTCTGTCTGAATCTCATCTTCTGTTTGTAGAGCACACTATGTGATTCAAATATACATATTATAAGTAAGTTGTTTTATATGTGTTGAGCATGATTTTAAGTGAAATATATATGTATGTATGTATGTGTAGATATATCCATGAAATGAAAATTGGAATCTAGTGGGAAATGGTAAGTATAAATAAATTCAGATAATTAACCATACATATACAGGTATCAGTGAACTCTGGCCTACTTTCTGGTAGTAATAAATTTAAATATCAGGAAACTATCTTAAAAGTTAACATAACATGTACAAAAAAGGTGACTGAGTGGGGTGATGGATGTGTTAACTAAACTTACTGTGTAGGTGATCATTTTGTAATTTAAGTATCAGATCATCATGTTGTAACCTTAAATTTACACAATGTTCTCTGTAACATTTCTGGTAAAGTTTGAAAATAAATGTATAAGGAAACTCCTCCCCAGATTTTACTCTTTAAATGTGGCCTGTGGTTTACCATTTTAAGAAAACTACTGAAACATGTGGTGGCCATTTACATTGTTGCCTGTTGCTCTGCTTCACCACTAGAGGGAGATCACTATTATCTTTTTAGAGCGCCCTCCAACCTCTTTTAATGTATAGGCATGTTGACTACAAGATAGTTTCTGAATACATTTCTTGTGCTTAAGCAATATTCCAGCCAGTGTATTCTGTTAAAGCAGCCTCCCTCCAAAAAAAATTTAGTAACGGTTCCTAGCACTAATAATCGAAACAAATGTGGATGTAGAATATTGAGAACTATACGTACACTTGACGACACTACCAGTTTAGTACTGACAGCAGTCTTACATGGTGATGGCTACTATATTTCTCTTCAGAAGAAACAGACTCCAAGGGTTTGAATATCTTGCCCAGGTAACCCAGCAAATGATGGAGCCATAGACTTAAATCCCAGTGGCTTCTGGGAGTTTGTGCCCTTCACCTCTGCCACACTTCCTCTTGCACAAGTGCTGGAGTCACCGTGTGGTCATTCCCTGCTGGGCATGGGCCAGGGCACACTTTGAGCGTTGTTTCTGATATTTCCTCATAGCTTTTTATTCTAACTTGTCCTTCAGGATTCATTTCTGTCAGTATGCTGTTTCTAAGACTAAACAGGCTTTCAGTCTTAGTGCTCTTGAGTTTTAAGGGTTTTGTTAATGTGAAGTATACCCTCATGCTGATTGTCTGTCATACCTTTTCAGAACGAGCTTCCTGAACCTGAACAGGACAATGGTGGCACCACAGAATCTGTGAAAGAACAAGAAATGAAGTGGACAGACTTAGCCTTACAGTACCTCCATGAGAATGTTCCCCCCATAGGGAACTGATCACTGGCTCCTTTTCCATTAATGGATTTGAGAAAAAAAAAAAAAATAGATGCAAAATTAGTTTTCTGTCTCCTAATTCATATCTTTTAGTGATAGGTCAAAAAATGCATGCCCTGCTTAGTTTGTGGCAAAAGAGTACAGTGTGGAAATCCTTAGAGAATGAGAAACTGATTGATACTTCTTAGGAACACAGACTGTTTTGCCTTCTTCATTTACTAGCTTGTATTTGAACATGATTTGGGTAAATATTTGCCTTTAACTCTAGTTCTGCTATCAGCATTTAAGCAACCTGCTTAGTTGTATCCTGTGACGCAGCTAATTAAAGATAGGAGAGGAAAAGGCAAAGAAGAGCTGAATTATAAGCGTTATTGACTTCCCGTGTACTGGACTTGAGAAGTGGTCTAAGTGAATGTGTGTGAGGCCTGTAGATATAAGGGATCTTTAGGGAAGATCTGACTGACTGCTAACATTCCTAAGATTCCCCAAAGTATTTGCATACATTTACCCATTAAAAGACTGTCTGACAGTTACCTCTGCTCTCCTTACAGTTTCCTTTGGTGCCTCTGGAAAAGATCTTTAACTACTTGGAACACTAGTTTTATCTAGTGACAGGATACAAACCTTGCAGATATAACACACAGTGTGGACTCAGTAGTTACATATTTGTCTTAAGAATTTGTAATTTAAAAAACATATTCACAGACATTTATGGCCTGGAATTGTTTGTCTGGGTTAAATAATGTCTTTCTTGTCCTCTACCCAGATTGTAAACTCTGCAGAGGGAGTTCATGCCTTTTATTTCTGTAACAATCATTGAAAAATGCATTAAAAATGATCTGATTTTTGGTTCTCAACCAGAAACGTAGTTGGAGCAACTCTTCAGTCATCGAAAAATATGTATGCTAATCTCACTGCATATCAGCATCCTGCCTAGAAGTCCCTCATCCCAGCATAAAGGGAGGCCAGTCTTATGATAAATGAAGGAAAAGGCAGCCTAGTCCTAGATCTGAAGCCAACACTGAGTCTTCTAGCTATGGCAAAGACAGCCCTGCATTGGGGCCACCTCCTTCAAGGGTATGAGTAAGGACAGCAGTAGCCACCCTGAAGGACTGAAGAGTAGAGGTCCTCACTCCTTGAAGTCATTCATGAGTGTTCTAGTGCTTGTGAGTCCTTAAGAGACAGAAAGGACACCCCAGTGACCACAGATTGTAATTGCCACTGCAGTATATCACAGAACTGTAAAGGTTTAATTTGCAGAGCTTTGCACTGGCTCAAGGAGGACATGGTAGTGGCTAGGAAAAGCAAGATGGAAGTCAAAGGGCTTGGACAGCTCTTAAATTGTCCAGATGCACCCAGTATTTCATGGATCACAGTGTGGTTCTAAAGAGACTAGAGTGCCCAGTGCAAGGACTGCTGTTGTGACTCAGGCCAAGCCAGAAAGCCAGACCCTAATACAGAGGCAGCCTCTGTTCTGGGCACAGCCTGGGTCCAGGATCTGCACACTGTGTAGACCCACTTCATAAAAATGTAGTTGTCGTAGTGACAGCCATGGCTAACCAAACCTGTGTGTGCTTCAGACATGTGGTCTCTAGCCCTGAGGTTCACTTTTTGAGCTGGATATTATTGTTCTTGGTGATTTTAAATGACTTGTTCCAAGTTAAAGTTACTATGTTTTGAATTAAAGAACTTGTTCCAAGTCACTCAAGTAGTCAGTGGGTTTCTAAATCCCAAACTGTGTCCTCTCATTGGGCTTTGTGACCTCCTGTAAGACTCCATGACCACTCTATTCTGAAATGAGAAGAAAATCCTCTGGGCACATTGGAGCTTCAAAATGTTTCCTTAGTTTTTGTGGTATAAAGAACTGAAAAATAATTTTTATTAGGAATCATGAAATATTTAAAAATTCAACCAATTCCCAATTCAGCTACGTTCTGCCATGAACCGCAGTAGTGTCACTAGTCAAACCCCTCAGATTTGTTTTTAGATTCTGTGCATTGGGAGTGAACCAATAGCAATGCTTTTAGTCACCAGCAGAGGGCACTCAGTTACTTTGAGAAAGTTTGAATTGCCGGCAGATCCTATAGTAAATTCTGAAACAAGCTCCTTAATAAAGATGTTACTTGAAAGTGATTCTGCATATCTGGGTTGCCCAAAGGGCTGGGTAGGGATTTGTGTGAATCCTTTGGATTCAAGACAGCATACCTGTGGGCTCCTCTCTTGTGCTATGTGGGGAGCCAAATGTGGGGATTCAGGTGAGGGCAGCTTAAAACTTTGGTTACATAAAAAAGTAGCTAGAATCAGGAATTTTGCCTGCCTGTGACACTAACTCAAACTCATGGGAGGGCTGGGGACTTTTTCAGTAAGCCATTTTCCAGCTCTTTCTGTTAAGTCATTTGGATAATTGAGGCATCACCCTGGAATGATCCATTAGGCTCCAGAAAGACATTTGCCAAAGCTCCCTTTCTTTATTTGACCCTGATTTACCCACAGTTAAATTCATTCCCCAGTTCCCTGCTGCCACACACCATCAATGAGTTCCTGTGGAAAGTAGTGGGGGTTAAAGACTGGCACAACAGCTGGGTGGACTCTCAAGGAGGCTACATAACTTGTCTTTCTGGTCTCTGCCCCTGTGCCAGCCAGGACTGGATCCATGGCCTCTGACCCTGGATAATCACACAGGACTCTGCACTCAGAAGCCTGCTGCGACTATCTTAAAACTCTTCACCTCAGACTTTTGAACAAGGGCCCATGTTTTCATTTTGTACCAGACCCCATAAATTCTGTAGCTGGTCATTGAAAAGTTACTTTCAGTACCCACAGGTATCCACGTTGAAAGGTTCCTCACTTGGCCCACCAAGTGCCCTCACTCTTGGAGTGAGAATTCAAGATACTGTGAGTGTTGGCCTTAGGGGTAACAGAAAAGCAGGGGAGTGTCAGGGGGAGAGCTAGGGCAGCCCCCCAGGCTTGCCCACCCCCTGAATACCTCCTGAAGCATATTCTGGTTCCTTACAAGGTCTTACAGAGCAGTTGCTGAAGTTGTTTTCTGAGCTCAGCTGAGTTCTATGTGGATCTCACCACATGTACACTAACCTACATGACCCAGGGAGTGACGGTAGGTTTAGAAATGCCGATGAGCAGCAAGACAGATTCTCTGGCCATCTAAGAACTTAAAGCAAGACTCGCACCTATTCTCAGGATATGGCCTTGCTAAGTTTCATCTGGCGCTTAATCAACTACTGTGTGAACTCACACTCCGTTGCTCTGGGTACAGCAACTCAGTTGTCTCAGAGCCATGCCTCTGACTGAAATAAGATATAAGACGATTACAGAGCGGGGGGAGGGGGTTGGGAACAGTGGTCAAGACATGCATTTGTGAAGGGCTCTACCTGGGCTTTTTCCTTAGTTAACCCCTTTGTGTTGAACCATGTGAAAAAAAATTATTTTAATTGGTCAAAAGTCATCAGTCACAATTGCCTATGTCTTTAGTTAATTTGATTCTTATCTAGAGTCAACTGTGTACATATACACACAACACAAACACAAACCGGATCTGATGGGGGAGGCGAAGAGCGGGCAGAGGGTGGAGAATTTGAAAACAACAAAATGACTGGAAAGGAAGTGAGGGAGGTTGATGTATAAACCCATCCCAGTTATTCCAAGCCTTCCCTGGTGACTCAGATCCCCTGTATCATGCTGCCACCTCCCAAGGGCAAAAGGGGTTTTCCTCCACCCAGGCCGTGATCTTACCTCCACTCTCTTGGCATCACTGTCCTTACTTCCTCCCCACCTGGCTTCTTAGTCTCCAATCAATTCCCTTGCCCCTGCCACCACACTCACCCTTGGGACTCACTGGCACACACGCTAACTGCAGGGCTTCTTGAAGCTGAGCAAGGTGGCAGCATCTTGCCTCTTTCCCAACAGGCATGTCCTAACATCTGTCATCAACTAAGACCCCACATAACTGCCCCCAACCCGGCCCAGACAGAAACAGCCTGCCCTCGGAGAACCTTCTGTCCAGTCCCACCTTCCTGGTATTTGTGTTCTCAGATGTTCTCTGATTCCCCTTTAGGGGCTCATACTCAGGGCTGTGCAGGCGTTCTGATGTTGAGACACTCCCTCCTCTCCGCTCCAGCTTTTGCTCAGTGAGTCTGAGTGCTCAGTGGTGGAGCACAGGCAGCTCCACACACAAGAATAATGGCCCCAGTGGGGTGGGAGAATCCCAGGGAGTCTGGCCCCAGCAGAAGTGGAAGGAACTACATACCAGTGCTCACCTCCCATTCACTGCTGCTTGCCTCTCGCCTGGTTTCTCTTTTTCAGTCAAGCAAGCAATCGGTCTTTCTGTGTGTTCCTACTTTTCTTGCTGTTCTCCCTCTCCTTCTCTTCATTCAAGCACGTATCTAAATATTATACTGACAGTCCATACCGTTCACTTTATTTTCTTTCATATTGCAGCTGCCTTATCTGAGGAACTCATATCGTTTGCCTCTTGTCTTATTCTACAGAATAAGTTACATACAAACAAAATACATATATAATGCTGCAAAACAGAGTGGCTAAGACTACAGACCTGGGAGACAGGACCTAGGCTCAAAACCCAGGGTAGTATGTGCCAGTTGCTCACCCTCAACAAGGTCTTGACCTCTCTGAACCTCGTTTTCCTCATTGAAAATAGGGCTGCTACTATTGCTTACATGATAGGGTTATTAGAAGATTAAGCTAGACAATGCAAGCAAAGTGCACAAAAACAGTTTAGGCACATGATAAACACTTGATAAATAATAACCATTGCTTGCTTTCAACATTGTAAGACACTTGAGCATTTCAAAGGATTTCTACATTGAGACTCTGTGAAGTCAAACAAATAATTTTATTATGTAAACTATCATTACCTAGTAGTCCACAAGGGTTATTTTTGTATAGTAGAAGCAGAATGAATTAGGAAGCAGAAGATGTAAGTTCCAACTCTTGCTACCCCTCATCTGTGGCGTGGCCAGAAACCTGTCAACCTCTCAAGCCTTTTTCCCAGGGCTAGAAAGTGAGATGAATACAAGATGCTTACAACTATTTTGTAGTTATAAAGAAAACAGCATAGACTTAAACAATAATTCATTTACTTTGTATATTTGAGGTTTATTCTCATATTCATGTTTCATCTAGATCTCAAAATATGTGTTAATTTTCATAAAATAAATGCAAATAAGCATATCTGGATGGAAATTTGGAAAAAAAAAATTCACCGAAAGAAAAGACCACAAACTACTGGCAGTCAATATCACCTCTAGGAACATGATTAGAATAGCTTGAAGGGAAATTGTCACATCTTTATCTTTTTCTGAAAAAGTGGTGGGATGAGGGATAATTGTCTTTACATAATGATGGTAAACAATGTGAAAATCAAAATAGTACTCAAACAATTTTTTTTCAGTGCTCTTGAATAAAGATTTGGAATATACATTGCAACATATGTTAGTATTCGTTAGCTTTCATGCCACCAACGTTCAGCAGGAATACCTGCTCATGCAAAGCACTCTGGGAGATACAAAGGTGGATCAGACAAGAGATTCTACTTGCGATTGCAATGTGTTAAACCAGATAAGACACTTAGGCATTAGCATCACATCCAAGAAAGAGGCCAGCCTACCTGGAGCACAGTAAGTCCTTAGTAAATAAATACTGCTGGACAAATAGGTGGATGGTTGGAGATACAGTTAATGCCATGGAGGAGGGGAAAGATAACTACAGCTAGAGGAATTTGGGAAAGCTTTGTGGAAAAGAGTCTTTGAAAGCCATGTAGAGATTAGACAGAGTTGGGAAGGTGTCTTCTGGAGATAACATCCCGTCATTTCTGATCCATTCCCAGTTTTCTACTCCCTCTCTCCCTTCCTTCCAGCTAAGAGGCACAGCTGGTATGTTTGGAAGCATGGGAATTTTTTTTTGGTAGTCACAGTGACTGGGATGGGGTGGGGGAGTGTTAGGAGAACACTCTGCATTTAATGGCCAGGGCTTTTTAATACACAGCAATAAAGAATTGTTCTATACAAAATTCTAATAGTGACCACATTGAAAAATACCAGTAGGTGAGAGAAGCATCATAAATAGATTATTACAATGTCATAAAGAAAATGCTGACAAAGATAGCTACACATGTTTTCTGCTTTTGTCAGCCAAAACAAATTATGTGCCCTCCCTTCTAGGAAAGGAGCAAGGATTCAAGATTGGAAAGGCCTAAGGCAGGGGTGCTAAGAAGACAGAGGGCTAGTCAGCAGAGATTAATTAAACCTTAATTAAATAAAGG